AACTCCCAGAGATACTTTACTAATATGCATCTGATTTCACTATCTTATTAGGGGATATTTATCTGGGGATTATAACCTGCCTGGCGCATAAAACAATCAAACTGTCACTTTTGCCTCCTCGATATAACCAGGAGAAGGGTGTTTGCTTCCTCTTTTCTCCATTTTGTTCTATTTTTCTCCTCTGGTATCCGCTCAATCTTCACTCCCTCAGACTTCAGTCTCTCTCAATTTGTTCTTCACTTGCTCGCAATGCCTACTTTTCACTGCATCTTTGTCTTTCGTCTCCTCCCACCCAATCTCTTCTTCTTCTTTTTCCAATCCTTCATTTCTTCATTTATAACAGAGATAGCCCTTGATCAGCCTAAGTAGCTCATAGTCTCTCTTCTTGTTATGCTTCCCTTCTTGCCAAGGTACGGGAAGGAGAAGTGAGAAGTACTCATTGATTTTATATAATATGTGTTCCTTTACTATGATTATTTGGGAAATTTGGACTAGAATGAACCTGAAAGATGTTGTAATACTGCATTAGATCGGAAAATGATAAGAAGAGGAGATAATCAGGAGGTTAGCACTCGATTCGTTCCAGGGGGCCTATCTCACATTTATGTCTAGGATTCGAGTCAGTTCGATTTTCCCTTTTAGGTTGAGGCAAGGATTTTAAGGAAATTGGTGTAGTTACACTGTTGGGTTTTTGGGTGGCTCTTCAGTTTGAGGATAGCAAAGACAGTTAGGTTTCAATTTGAGGGTAAGAAGAATGGCTATGTTTGGTGTGGCTATACCAACCCTCAAATTTGAGGGTAAGTAGAATGCCTATGTCTGGTGAGGCTACAAAAAACCTGCTGTATTCTCAGTTGTAACAGTATTAGGAAATAGAGATGCTGGTATGGTTGACTTCTTTTTATCATCAACATTCGATGACTATGTTGGAGCTTCATCCTTCATCTATTATGTTTAGGGGATATTGTTGGTCTGACTTTTGGTATGTATTTAACTTGGCCAAAGAGTATCTTAGCTTCTTGGTTGCCAGTATATTCTTTGTGCTGATGAGTATACTGTTAGCTTTCTCAAAAGAAGAAAAGAATATCTGGCAGCTACTGTTAGCTTTCTCAAAAGAAGAAAAGAATATCTGGCTGCTTTTTTCCTTACCTGATTGCCATGCCTCTTCGTGTTGGGTTTCCTTTTTCCTTTTCTCCCCGTACATCAGCATTGGCCCAAGAATATCTGATTGCTTGTTTCTTTACAGCATTAGGAAAACAAAACACCTATGCGGTTCTGTTTTGATAGAACACTCTGTTCGAAAACAGTTATATTCTTTATTCTGACAGTAAAATCATATTTTTCTTGTTCTGACACGAGTATTATTCTCTGCAGATCCTCACATTATTGCAGTTCGGAGGATACACTCTTGTTAGGAATTCAAAGGACTTGTTTCAGAGTTTTGGGTTTGATACCCAACCAGTTCTTATTGGACTTATCATATTTCAGGTAATACTATGCTCTTGAAAGGTTATATTAAACATCTGGTAGGTCAGTGTGGCTATTGGGAAGGGTTAGATATGGTAATTTGATTTTCAAAATCCAGAAGATTTACTAGCCTATATGTTATTCAAATCATTGGCTGGTTTTTTTTCTTTTATATATGTCTAAGAACATTGATCACTCTGTAGTTTATTGACTCAAGGGACTTCCATTCCAGATTTTGAATTACTCTTATCATGGTCGTTTGGAACTAATGGTATTAACATTGTCCTTGATATCATTGTTCTGGAATTTAATATTTTTTCCCTCAAAGATGTGAAATCTCTTGGAAGCAATGCAGTCAATGCAAATTTACCTATGAATAAAACATCATAAATGTCAATGTCGGTGATACCGACTTGTATGCGTAAGCATGAGATTTAGAGAATCCATAAATAGATAGATTCATATCGTCGATGCCAAATGATTTGGGTTTCAGGCGTAGTTGATAGACTGATTGGTAGTTTCTTCACTGGGTTTGCCAATATTTCACAAGTGAATCTGTAAGTAGGTAGTATTGTTTTTGTTGATCTGTAGTTAATATATTTGAGGTTCCACATATTAGTAGCTTTTATATTTCCCATTTGGTCGACATACGGCAGGCTCAACTGATACCCAAAAAGAAGATGAATTATTTGAAGCTTAAAAGAACTAATACAATATTATCCATAGTTAATGATCAATCTAGCCGTTGGGTTAAGTAGGATGCTACTGAAATGCCGCTCAATGTGAGAGCAAATTATGTTTTTTGGACAAAGGCAATGATAAAGTAATGGTGATTGATGTGTCATACCTTGTGAATAGGCAATCAAGGTTGTACGTTAAGGGTGTTATTCTTCGTTAAGGAATCATGCATATACAAACAGTTCAAAGTTCAATATTGTGTCATTTGACATGCCTTGAGAGAACCGAGGGTCTTTCGGAAACAGCCTCTCTAGTCCTTCGGGGTAGGGGTAAGGTCTGCGTATACACTACCCTCCCCAGACCCCACTAGTGGGATTTTACTGGGTTGTTGTTGTTGACATGCCTTGAGAATATAAGAACTGGTATTTATCAGTTGCAAAATCTATTTTTTTCTAATTTATTCAAATGTAATTTAACATGGTTGCAGCACACTGTCATACCTCTCCAGCACCTAGTGAGCTTTGGTCTTAATCTTGTAAGCCGTGCTTTTGAGTTCCAGGTGACGTTATGTTGTATGGATTTACCTTTATATTTTGACTTATTTTTTAATGCTAAATGTTTTCACCTGAACTGTAATTTTTTTATCTCAAGGCTGATGCTTTTGCAAAGAAGCTTGGTTATGCTGCAGCACTTCGAGCTGGTCTTGTGAAACTGCAGGTTGCCATTCCTTCTATCCTAAATGTGTCTCCATGATATCCTTTTTTGCGATTGAGCCGTTTGCATATACCATCTATGTTCATGGATGATTCTTAAAATGTTGATAACAAAAAATTTTCCAAATCTAAATGCTGAACAATTCTTCGGAACTCAAAGCTATAATAGTAATTTCTAGGTTTCAAATCATTGCAACTTAGAAGAAACTTTCAAATCCTGTAACAAGATATCTGTAATACCAATTTGTTCAACATCTTGCAGGAAGAAAACTTGTCGGCTATGAACACAGATCCCTGGTATTCGGCTTATCATTATTCTCACCCTCCTCTAGTTGAAAGATTGACTGCGATTGATGAACACGATAAGAAGACAGACTGACACCACGTGGACATTTCACTGTTCAATATAGAGTTGGTTCTATGCTTTGCACTGCAGAACTGCAAAGCATAACAAACAATAGGTGTGATTTACTTTCAATTGCCATGATATTTTTGATGTCACATTCACATTGTAGTGCTGAGTTAGGAAGGTTACTGGAGCTGCAAGGAGGAATGACTTTATGTTTGATTGTATTGTTTACAGAAGTTGGGAGCTTCAGCTCGACTTTGCTACTAGAGTTGGTCAAAATTTATGGTTTATATAATCAAACGGTGGCAATTCGAGCTCTCGAGGAGATGTAGCAAGAACTTCGTAGTATTTTTGAGGGCAGAACTGCTTTACATATTAAGGAGCTTCTTTGTGGCTCAAAAACAAAAAAAATTTGTAGGTGGTGTAATGTTTTTGGTCCCGTCTCTGCATTTTTTCATGTTATCCAGTGCTTCTCTTATACTAATTAGTGTTTCTGTTTTCTTTAAAAGAATTTGCTGGATTAGTGCGCAAAAGTTCAAAAGCATGTAACCAAAAAGATAATAGGAATGTTACATTAAAGATAATTAGTTTGTACATTTGACTTGTAGATGGAATTGTCAAGTGCCTAATCTATCTATTTTGCTATACATGCGTCACTAATTGATGACAAAGTTCAATCTCAAAGGCATTATTTTCGTGAAAAATTTGTGACTATAAAAAATAAGTCATTCAAGATTCTCTTAGGATGACCTATAGGAATGAACGATAAATCTATTTCAGTTTTATAAATTAAACGTGTAACTTTATTTTTCCATTCGTTTTTTCCCTCCAAGTACAAAATGATAAATGCAAAATCTCGCGCGTCTTTGTAGTTTATGGTTCAAATCGACTATCTTCATTGCCTAAGGTATTTCAAGCCCGTCAGGATCACATGTGACTCCCTTATGATCTGGATATCCTCTAGTAATCAATTGTATATACAACTTCACATATGATGAGAATTTTACTCAATATTGTATGATTTTCATCAATACGTAGTGGTTTTTAGCGTCTGATTTTGAATAAGGTATATGGGTAATTGTTATATTAACATAAGGTATTGCAATAAGTAGGGGTTTAAATGTTTGACTTTGAAATTTTGTCTGGTTTATCCTTAAGTGAGTGATCAATGCTGTAGTAGATATTTAGAGTAGTTTCCTCTTTAAAAGGTCGTCTAGTTCGCGTACTAGTTAGTTACTTATTATAATGCGAATGTTGTATATGAATTACTAACTTTAAATGGAAACTTTTTATCTTTGAATAATTTAATCCATGTATACACCTATTTATTTTGCTTTAAAATTATATAGATCCTCACATAACTTAATGCAATATTATTTAATACTGTCAACCAAATGCTGCATTAGAAATGCGGGCATAGGATATTTTTTTTTCTTGTGCAACCAACCAAATATTATATTGTCTTATGCGAAATTTTATGATGGGATTAATTATTTCAAACCACGTATTAAACGACCTCTAAATATAGGCAAAATAAGAATATTTCCTAACATCCCAAAACACAACCACTGCCACAAAAATGCTAGTATATATATTACCTATGCATGTAAAATAAAAAAAAAATGAAGTAATGGAAGCATCATTATGTAGTCAATTTTTTCCCACCTGTATGGTGAAAAATTTAAGAGGACTCATCCAGTACAATAAAGAGAAAGTAAAGGGGAGAAAAAAAAAAGCAAACTCCCATCCCTCAAAGAAAAGTCAATTTCCTTCACGGGCAACAACAAATGACATGCAATCCAGTTCAAAAGTTGACACATGATCTAACATGCTTTTCCTCTAACTTACTCTCTAGAAAATTGAAAGTTGAAGAGAAAGTTCAAAAGAAGAAAACAAACTGAAATGTCCAAAGGCTCTTCTTCTTTTTTGGTCTAAATTTTTCTGTTAAGTTTTAGAAATGTCTGTTGATTCAAGTTCAGGTGATCATAGTAGTAACATAAGAGGAGTTCCAACGCATGGGGGTCGATATGTGCAGTATAATGTGCATGGTAGTCTTTTTGAAGTTTCAAGAAAATATGTTCCTCCTATTAGACCTATTGGTCGTGGTGCTAATGGCATGGTTTGGTAAGAAAATTTTACTTTTTTATATGCACAGCATAGGTTTAAGCTCTGTTTCTTCAGTTCTAATAGTTACAGGTATGTGAATATTTGTGTATATTACCACCTGATGTACATATATATAGTGCTCTATGATCTGAAGAGGAGCAAAGCTTGCCCCTGCATGGAGATTGAGTTTTTTACCTTTGAGGTTAATTATTCCTCATCGTTTAACCTATATATATATATATATATATACTCTTATGATGAGTTTCCATTAAATAATTTTCAAGTTAGAGCTTTTTGACAATTGAAGGTAGTATGTATGCTTGCTCATTGATGTGTCTTAAAGTGACTCCATGTATGGTATATGAGTATGGTTGCTTCTATGTTTCCCTTGTTATGATCAGTGGCGGAATCACGATTTTCACTTAGGGGAGTCAGAATATAAAGAAATAAATACACAAGAAGTCAAGAGGTTTCAACATAAAGTATATATACATAGTTTTTTTATCTACCTACACAGTCTAATTTTCGGACGAAGGGCAAGACTATTATCTGCTCAAACTGTACTTTGTCTTGTATCTACATGTTTCACTAATCTAAAGCAAGATTTTGAAGTTGTTCAATATGTTATCTTTTCACGTGATATATCCTGTGACATTGAAGTCTTTGTTAATTAGGGATATTAAAGTTTTAGATCATATGCTACTTGTCCTCTGTTTAATTTCTTTTCACTGTTGTAAGAGTTCCCTCTGTTGAACTTTTTTCCTCTATTTTATTAGTATGTGAAGGGAAGATGTTACAGTAATTTTTTGTAATTTTGGTGCATGCAGTGCTGCTATGAACTCGGAGACACGTGAGGAAGTAGCAATTAAGAAGATTGGAAATGCATTTGATAATGTAATAGATGCAAAAAGGACATTAAGAGAGATAAAGCTTCTCAGTCACATGGATCATGAGAATGTAAGTATTGCACCTCTCCAGAAATCTCAATATTGCACCATGCTCCTTAGATTAATTCATTTTTGACTTTGCTTTGTATATTCACTAGAAAGTTGGACATCTATTACTACTTTGCTTCTAATATCACACTATGAAATGATAGCCCTTTTGTTTAAAATAGGAGTAGGAAACAAAATTGAATCTTGATTATGAGTACTTCTGTTTGTAGTGAATACTCCTTTCAAAATATGCTGTTTCATTGTCAAGTGTTAACCCATTGCTAAGAGTAAGATGATGTGTTGATTATTCATATGGTAGATTCATCACTAAAAAGATGGGAAGCATAGGCATTTATGGTAAGTATCAGTAACTAATTGCTGATTTGTGGTTTCTGAGCCGAGGGTCTATCAGAAACAGCCTCTCTGCCTTCACAAGGTAGGGGTAAGGTCCGTGTACACATTACCCTCCTCAGACCCCACTTGTGGGATTACACTACACTGGGTTTGTTGTTGTTCTTGTTGTTGTATTATTTCCCCCCTCCAAGTACATGGATCTTGTACAATCTTTCCTGTGAATATTTAATGATTCTGAATCCCAGTTACATTCAACTTTTTTATTCCCCGAATATACAGGTAATTGCAATTAAAGATGTTATAAGGCCTCCTCAAAAAAAGAATTTCAATGATGTGTACATTGTTTATGAGCTGATGGACACTGATCTTCATCAGATTATTCATTCCAACCAACAGTTAACTGATGAACACTGCCGAGTAAGCTACACTTTATGTCGTGTACTTAAGTTCCCATATTCGTTATTCGTTTTCTCTAACCAGCTAGCTTGATTAGTATTTGAAGATGTAGTTCTGAATTTTGCTTGTTTGGGATTTATCTGCATTTTTATAAATCATAATGTGATCGGTTGCCATCTTTAATTTTGTAGCATTTTCTGTACCAAGTATTGCGAGGACTTAAGTACATTCACTCTGCCAACATCTTGCATCGTGATTTAAAACCCAGCAATTTGCTAGTCAATGCAAAATGTGACCTAAAGATTGGAGATTTTGGGCTTGCAAGGACGACAACTGAGACAGATTTCATGATGGAATACTGTGTGACACGTTGGTATCGTGCACCAGAGTTGCTACTTAATTGTTCAGAGTATACATCGGCAATTGATGTTTGGTCAGTAGGCTGCATACTTGGTGAAATATTGACGAGACAACCCCTTTTCCCTGGCAGAGATTATGTACACCAGTTGAGACTTATCACTGAGGTACATTTAGTAGATAGAATTTGTACTTCTGCATTCATGCATTTAGAAGTTTGTTTTCACTTTGAGCTGAGGCAGTTCAATCTGACATGCTCTATTTTTGTTTTTGCAATAGCTCATAGGCTCACCTGATGATGCTAGTCTCGGGTTTCTCCGTAGTAATAATGCCCGAAGATACGTTAGGCAGCTCCCAAGGTACCCGAGGCAACAATTTTCTGCCAGATTCCCGAATTCATCTCCCCGAGCTGTTGATTTGCTTGAAAAAATGCTCATCTTTGATCCGAGCAGGCGTATTACTGGTAAAGAATTTACGAGGGATTCTGTTCCTTTATAGATTTACTAAATGCTACTAAGTATATTCTGTCAATATTTGCTAGTTAATGACCTTTTTTACTGGATTATTGCAGTTGATGAAGCTCTCTCCCATCCGTACTTGGCACCGCTTCATGATATCAACGAGGAGCCTGTTTGTCCTAGGCCTTTCAGTTTGGACTTTGAGCAGCCATCTTTCACTGAAGATAATATCAAGGAGCTCATATGGAGGGAAGCCGTAAAATTTAATCCTGATCCAACTCATTGAAAGAGATGTGGTTATATGATGTATACAATAAGAATTTGGTTATTTAACTTCTCTAATATACTGTATTAGACTTGTAATGTTACCTAGTGATGATGACTGAATAAATATGGTGGAGCTGTTGGGTTCAAGAAATTGTTAGTGACTTAAGTCAGATACTTATTCCCTTATTATGTTCTGGTTTATCGGTGTTGTATAAGGAAGCTAAATGGTAGCCTGCAATTAGATGTTTCAAAATACTGATTCTCTCTGGGTGATAGAACTAGGAAATCCTGACTGCTGACTGCTTGTTTTCCTGAATATTTCACCTATTCAAGTGGTTTGACATTATAAGGAGATCGTTCATGTGAGAATGGACAGTGAGTGAATCATTTTTGAAGTTGTATGCATATTTATAAGAACTTGCCTGGAGTACTTGATTCGCTTATGCTTCTTGCTCAACTGTAGTGTTCAGCATGTTGAAAGAATCTCTGCTTGGTCTTCTTATCAGGGTGTTTTATCGATAATTTGCCTTCTGTTAGTTGTTGACTTTCCAACATCGGCTGTCGGATTAAATTAGGTTCCTTATAGCAGTCTTTCACCTCATGAGCTAGCTTTTGAGGTTGAGTTAGGCCAAGGTCCATTTCTTATCATGGTATCAAATTCATACTCATCCCAATTCTTGGTTTACCCGATGTTGGGCTTCTATGTTATGTTGTCCACGCTCTAGATGTCCAATCTCGGGCGTGGGTTTTTTTTTTGGGGGGTGGGGGTGGGGTGTGGGGGGGATTTACTTTCTCACATTGGTTGTGGGATCAAATATTAGGCTCCTTATATGATCTTGAGCAATCCTCAGTTCCTCACTTCAGGAGCTAGCTTTTGGGGTCGAGTTAGGTACAAGGTCCATTTCGTATCATTAGTTATAATAATTTGGCTTCTTATTAATGAAGCTTCTCTGGCACCATATGAAAACCTTGGAAATTTAGTAAGAAATGCACATTTTGCTGGATAGAAGTCTTCTAGTCATGTTAGAGATTTATGCTAGTAGAAAATATAGCGGACTTCTAGTACTTTTTGTTTTATCTAATTTTGTACAATATTGGCGCTTAAAAGCGACATGGTCGGTGAAGATTCATATTGCCGACCCCAATTTATTTGAAATGTAGGCGTAGTAGTAGTAGTTAATGTTGTTGTATACACATTTTGCTGGATATTCAAGGGCTAACATTGAAGATGAAAACACTAAGATATCAGATAGTTCATTAACTTATATTGCAGATACATTATGTAGAGCTTATTAGTAATTCAATCTATAGGAACATCTTTGCATCTCTATGTTATCAATAGGTAAACTCTCTGTAGGAAAATCACACATTTCACTCTTTTCTGGGCCCTGATCAGGCAACAACTGACAAGGTGGAGGCTGCACACCACTGGTAATTCCTTCAATATCACTGCAAGTCCAAGGATATTTCTTGGCCTTCTTTGCCATACTTATTGTCACATTGGACATGCAGATTCCGGTAAACGGATCCCCAGAAATCCCCTCCAGCCGAGCAGCCATCGACACGTTCTCAGCCACCACATCGCGGTAATTAATCCCTTTTATCTCAGGCAATGCATTAGGATCCCAATGAGTGTCAGCATGTGATCCGTAGTTTCCAGTCATCCAAAATACCCATTTCATTGTGTGAAGTGTCATCCCTTTGACATATACATCTTTGACAAAACCGCCTCGGCCAACAGCAGTCTTGATCCTGACCCCTGATTCCGTGTTGATGGCCGTGATGTCCTCGGCTCTCACATCTTGAATCCCACCTGACATTTCACTTCCTAATGCTATTGCAGCACTATAAGGCGAAATGCAAGTCAGGCGCCTGATGACTAATTGACTTGTTGGCATTCCGTACTTTATACCATATTCATCCCAACCACTTTTAACTGCAACACAATCATCTCCAGATACAATGTAATTATCTTCAAGTCTTACATTTGTGCAAGAATCTGTAAAAACAACAAAGAAATGAAAACTTTAATATTGATCAACATATCATTAGCTTTTTTTCTCATTCGAATACGTTGAGGAGGAAAGGGAGCCTTGGCGCAACTGGTAAAGTTGCTGCCATATGACTAGGAGGTCACGGATTTGAGCCGTGGAAACAGCCTCTTGCAAAAATGCAGGGTAAGGCTGCATACAATAGACCCTTGTAGTCCGGCCCTTCCCCAGACCCCGCGCATAGCGGGAGCTTAGTGCACCAGGCTGTCCTGAATACGTTAAGGAAAAACAGACCTGGATTGATTCCATCAGTGTTTGGAGATTTGACTGGAGCTAAAATAGTGATGCCTTGGATAATGATATTGCTGAAATTTCACAATAACCAAATATTCTTGATAAACTTTAGTGCAAATAGATAACAAGTGAAAGAATGAAGATTTTGGCTTAGTAAAATCACCTGCTATAAACAGGATGGATATTCCAAGATGGAGAGTTGACAAGGGTTAGATTTGATATCTGAATATTATCAGAATGCATAAGTTCAATCAGGTAAGGCCTTGTGTATTTTAGCTTTTTGCTGTGAAATTTCTGCCACCAAAGTTCACCCTGCCCATCTATTGTCCCATTCTCACCTAATCATTTACACAAGAAAAAAAATCACAATTTTTAGAAAAATGTCTAAAATTTTGAGAAATTAATAGCTTAAATGCATATAAAAATTGGATATAGGATGGTTGTTTACACTTTACCTGTGATGATAACATCAGTAAGGTTAGTGCCAAATAAAAGACTGATGTACCTTCCACCTGCTGCATCCCTCCCATGACCATATGATGGTAATGGATCTATAACTGCCCACTCATTTATTTCCTGAACCATTTCAATTATTCAGTCAAATAATAACTATAGTACAAATTCTTAGAAACATCATGTTAATATACTGATTTAACTAAGAGAGTGTCAGAGTCGAGTAGGCTGTCCACATCACTTCCTTGGGGTGCGGCCATCCCCTGAATCATGCGTGAATGCGGATGTATTGCACCTGGCTGCCCTTTAGTGTCTGTGTGTGTATGTGTTAAAGCTTTCCCCTAGACGATTGAGCCTAATACTGAAGCTACGTACTGTATCAATCAATCAATTACGTCTCAATTCCAAATGCAGGTCATATTTCATTCACAACTAAATGAGGAGATCCGTTTCATCGGATTTGTATGTTTAGTTACACGGCCTAGTAACGCGAGATCGCTAAATAAGACATAGGAGAGTATATGGTCATTTTCTTCTGTTCAAATTGTAATCGGTCATAAGAAATCATTTCCTCGGGAAATGGACCAAAAAAAAAAAAAGAGAGTACCTGAGAAGCAAGAAGAACAGCATCTTTTTGAAGGAAGAGAGTGAAATGACTAGTAAGATTGAAGCTACCAGTGAGCCATTGACCAGCAGGTACTATAAGCTGAGATCCACCATCTGATGCATACTGACTTAACTGATTCACTGCTTCTTGAAATGCTTTTGTGTTGAGTGTTTTTCCATCTCCAACTCCTCCAAAATCTTTTATAGATGCACTGTGTGCTCTGCAACTTATTGCTGTGTACACTAAATCATAAGAAGAAGACGACTCATCAAGAATTCTTGATTTTCTTCCCTCTGCTCCTACTAAAAGCACCAACACTAATATCACTAGTAGCAACCAACTTGTCTTTTCCATCTGCAACATAGCAAGAACACACTTAAGGAAAAACTTAAAAGAATAAATACTTTTCAAGTTTGAACTATGCTAAAAGGAACTTATTTAAGTCCATGTCTCTTGAGTCTTGACTTAAAGTTGCTCCTTTTTTCCTCTTTTATTTATGCATTAGTGTCGTAGAAGGGGAGCCTTGGAGCAACGGTAAAGTTATCTCCGTGTGATCTATAGGTCACAGGTTCGAGCTGTCAAAGTAGCCACTAATGCTTGCATTATGGTAGGCTGTCTACATGCCCTACCTGGGACCCTGCATGAATGCGGGATGCTTTGTGGCATCGAGTTATCCTTTTATTGTTGCAGTAGTGGTCAAAAATCACTAGAGTGACTAATTCGGATCCGCACTGCATAGGGTCCACGAAAGAAGGAGGCGCCCTCTACCACATGTTTTTCCATTACATAAGTCGAACCCGAGACCTCTATGTGCTCTTTGCAAGAAGAGAGCAAGATCTCAATTCTAGAAAATGTTTCACAATTTTAAAGAAGAAAAGACATAATTTCAAGGGAAAGAAAATTCTTTTTAAAGCAGTACTTACTACAAAAGTTGGTAATTTTGGTTCTAGTTTATTATTGCAGTACACTGAACTGCAGAGAGAAATAAAGAGTAAATGGTATGAACATCACTTACATGAGATGGCAATGGGATTCTATAAAATGAATGCATTGCTTAGTAGAAATATGGTATGGAATTGGTTTGGTGGTATAATATGCAAATATGTAAATAGGTCTATTATATAGACAAAGTTTTGTAACTGAACTGCAGCAACCTTTTTGTCACAGACTCTAAATCTGTGACATATTTGGATTGAGGTAAAAGATTCTCTGAAGTGGACAATTTTCTTCACCTTTTTTCCGCTTTCTATTTTTGTTTTTATTTGCTTTACATACATATAATGATTTAAAATCTCACAGATTACTGGAATAGCCTAACATCAAAAAAAATTGAACTCATCAATTAGGGCCTATTTTGGAAAGCCACCTTGGAAATGGATTTGAGTGTAATTGGGTGTAATTACACAGTTTGGCATGTTTGTTTGGCCAAGTAATTACTTGGTCAGCATGGAATTGGGGGTAATTGGAGGGGTGTAATTACACTCTCCCATTCTCAAGGGGAGGTGAGAATTGGTGGTAATTACACTGTGTAATTACAAGGTTGCTTTTTAGTTTCTTTCCTTTTTGTTTTTATTTTAATTTATTTTCTTTATAACTTTTTATTTTTATTATTTTAATTTTTTAATTTTATTTTTACCTTTTAATTTCTTTTGAAATTTTAAAATATATTTTCTTTGTATATTATTTATCTTTTATTTCTCTATCTTTACTTCTTGTGACATGTAATTGCTTATATTTTTATTTATTTATTTTATTATTCTATTTTTGAAACTACACCTCCTAATATTAGAAATAATGAGTCATTAATAAACTTGGCATATAATGAGTGATGCAATTAAAGTGGAACTTCGTTGTTAAATGTGGTTATAAACTTATCATGTTTCCTATCTAAGTTGCAGTGGGA